GTTCTGTTCCATTGATCTATGTGTCTATTTTTGTGCCAGTACAATACTGTTTTGATTACTACTGTTTTATAATATATCTCGAAATCTAGGATTGTGGTACTTCCAGTTTTGTTCTTCATTTTCAAGATTGCTTTGGCTATTCACGGTCTTTTGTGTCCATACACATTTTAAGATTATTTGTTCTAGTTCTGTGACAAAAATGCCATTGGTATTTTGATAGATATTGCATCAAATCTATACCTTTCTTTGGATATGGACAGTTTAGTAATATTTGTTCTTCCATCCACAAGCATGGATTACCTTTCCATTTGTTTGTGTCATCTTCAATTTAGTATATGTGCTACCGAGGTGAGCACTCATCTTCAATTTAAAGAATATATTTTTAAATAGATGTAATTAAACTTTAAAACATCATAGGACCTAGAAATGGGCAAACTGGTTTTTTTTTTTTTTTTTGGTAAACAGATGTTTTAAAAATACATAACCATGCTCTAAAATATTTTTCAAATCTCTTCCTAATTTTGTTTGTGATATTAGTTTTCATAGTAAATTCTCTGTAATGCAAAAATCACATCTTTAAAAATCTCCTCATGATGTAATAGAACTTAACAAATTGCTAGTGAATCCTTTATGATAGAATAAGCCAGCAAACAAAATGTTTAAAAAGTATAGGTAATTAATTGGCCCTATCAGATTAAACTCACAGTTATCAAAAACATATGGATTGTTGAAAGCAAAACATTGTTTGACTTTGGGGGAATTGACTAGGAAAGAGCATTAAGCAACTTTTCAGAGTGATGAAAATGTTTACTATCTTGCTGTAAAAAGTAAATACATAGGCACAGAGTTCACTTCATAAAAGGTTATCAAGCTGAATACTGGATTAATGTACTTTATGGAGTATAGGTTGTTAAAAAACAAAATTCAATGGAGTAAATGTTAAAGATCTTATTGGCTTTGCACAATGATTCATGAACTGGGCAGCATCCAGTGTAACAGGTGGAAAGGAGCTCCAGGAACTGTACAGAATGAAAGACTTTTATAGACAGGAAAGCAAGAATGAGGAAATTCTACTAGGCAAAAGCCAATTGGTTATTACAGGGTTACTTTCTTTTAGGAGACTGCAAGCATCTATCAGGCAGATTCTCTTACTACTGCTCATCAGGCAGCTCCTAATGGGCTGGTGTAAGACTCATTTCTGAGAGGGCCTATGCTGTTTGAGCCAAGTCTCAGTTTGGTAAGGTGAGGCTTAGCATGAGTGACTCCATTTTGAGCCTGTTTTGTTTTTAACAGTTACATGTCAACCTTTTTTTAAAGTTTAAAAGTTGGACTCACTAAAATTTTTTTTCAAAAAGAATCTCTATCCCTATACATTCTAAAATCCACCTATAATGTAGGAGGTAATCTATGCTAATTATGATATTTAAAAAGAAAAGAAATGAACAGGAAAACAAAAAAAATATGGTTTAGTTTTGTGGGGTGCAGTGTCACAGAATTTTCCTCCTTTTCTACTTCTTTTACATTATTTCTCAAGGTTTTGGAATTAGATTTGTGTTTCCTTTCAATACCACACTATACTATGATGGGGATTTACATTATACTAATAGGATAACAGGATAACCTGTAATAATTTAATCAGAGTAACAGATTATAAGCTTCTAGAAGAAAAAAAAATCTTATTCATGTTCATTTTTATATCCTCCAAAGCTCATAGGCAAGTTTTTATTTTTATTTACTCATTTTTAAAAAAGATTTTGTTTTTAAGCAATCTCCACACCCCACTTGGGGCTAGAACTCACAACCCATGATCAAGAGCTGCAAGCTCCACCAACTGAACCAGCCAGGCACCCCAAATTATTTACTTTATTTATTAATTTTTTTTTTTTTTTTTTTAGTAATCTCTGTGCCCAACATGGGGCTCAAACTCATGACCCTGCGATCAAAAGTTCCATGCTTCTTTTTCTGACTAAGCCAACCAGGAACCTCTCCTGGAAAAGTTTTTAATATTGAATAGGTTTTCATTTTATATTTGTTAAATTAAATGTCAAAGCATTATGCTAAAAATTTAGTTTTGGGGCACCTAGGTGGCTCAGTCAGTTGAGTGCTTGACTCTTGATTTCAGCTCAGGTCATGATTTCTTGGATTACAAAATGGAGCCCCATCTCTGGCTCTGGGCTGACAGTATGCTGGAGCCTGCTTGGGATTCTTTCCCTTCCCCTCTCTCTGCCCCTTCTTTGCTTGGGCATGTGCTCTCTCTCCCTCTCTTTAAATATATAAACTTAAAAACATTAGTTTCAAAAAATATTTTAAAAGAAAACTATTAAAACTTGATGGAAATATGAAAGTTGATGAGTGGACAAATTAGGTAAGTAGTCAAAGTACACTAAGTAAATACACACCAAATCATCTTGTACAATAATGGAGTCATCCTTTATCTTTTACCTGCTAACTCCATTCTTTGTAAACATACCACAAGAAAATAAAAGAATGAAAAATAATTTATGCAAAAGTATTCATGTAGCTTTATTGTAACAGTGAAAATTTTGAAATTAAATATAAAATACAGGAGAATGTGAAGTTAATTCTTCTATATCAATATACTGAAATCTCTCAAAGGTGACAACTTGGGACTATGTAAATACATGATGCTAAGTATACACTGACATAAATCAGAAGAAATTTTAAGTTATCAGTGAAGAAAAACAGTTACGAGTGACAGAAATCTTAACCCAAAGTGGCTTAAGGAAAAGAGGAAATTTATTGGCTGATGTTCATTAAAAAGTTTAAGAAACACAAAAATCACCTCAAAATGGATCATTGATCTAACTGAAAACACATAAGGATAACACTTAAAAAAAAAAAAGAAAAATCTAGGTAGTCTTGGGTTTGGTGAAGAGTTTAGATACAATATCAGACATGTAATCCATGATAGGCCACCTGGATGGCTCAGTCAGTTAAGTGTCTGACTTTGGCTCAGGTCATGATATCATGGTTTGTGAGTTTGAGCCCCACGTTGAGCTCTGTGCTGACAGTTAGGAGCCAGCAGCCTGCTTTGGATTCTGAGTCTCCCTCTCTCTCTGTACCTCCCCTGCTAGTTCTCCCTCTCTCTTTCTCTCTCTCTCTCAAAAATAAACATTAAAAAAATTCCTCTGTATGAACGACTATGCTAAGAAAATGAAAAGACAAGTCACAGATTGGGAAGAAGACATTTGCCAAACACTTTTCTGATAGAGGACTTGTATCTAAACTATATACAGAACATTAAAACTCAACAATAAGAAAACAAAAAACCCAATTATAAAATAGGCCAACATGAACAGACATCTCACCAAAGAAGGTATACAGATGGCAAATAAGTACATAAACATTAGTCACTGAGGAATTTTGAATTAAAACAGCAGTGAGATGTAACTACATACCTATTAGAGTGGCTTAAAGTAAAAAACAAAACAAAACAAATAAACAAAACCAAATGCTAGCAAGAATGCCACAGGCATGCTTGCCCATTGCTGGTAAACTGGTAGAAATGCAAACGGCACAGCTGCTTTGTAAGACAGTTTGGCAGTTTCTTACAAAGCTACACACAGACTTATAATACGACTCAGCAATCATATTCCTAGGTATTTACCAAATTGACTTGAAAATGTATCCACACTTGGGCCAGCACACAAATGTTTATAGAAACTTTTTTCAGAGTTGCTAAAAACTGAAAGCAACCAAGATGTCCTTCAATAGGCAGTAGATAAATTATGAGATACCCACATGATGGAATATTTATTTCTAAAAAGAAATGAACTATCAAACCATGAAAAGCCATGAAGGAAACTTAATGCATATTGGCAAGTGAAAGAAGCCAGTCTGAGAAGGCTGCATGCTATATGATTCCAGCTCTATGACATTCAGGAAAGGGCGAAACTATAGAGACAGTGAAAAGATCAATGGTTGCTAGGAGCTCAGGGAGAGCAAAGGAAGAAATGAACAGGTGAAGTTCAAGTGATTTTTAGAGGGGTCAAACTATTCGTATGGTACTCTGATGGTGGATACACGGCCTTATGAATTTGCCAGTAGACGTTACAGCACAAAGAGCAAACTTTGATGTATACAATTTTTAAAAAAAATAATTTAAGAAGTTGGGGGATTCCAGGAAAGAATTCAGACCATGACAAAAGAGTCTAACTGAAGGGGATGGGGGGAAATGATGCTGACCTAAGTAATTTTGGAAATGACTAGTCTTTAAGTCTAAAGGCAAAAGGAACTGCAAGGAGACACTGTACTCTAGTGGATAAAGTTTGTTCTCAACAGATTACCAGTTCTGATATTTGTATACGTGTATACTGGAATAGTACAGGGATGGCAAATTGGAGAACCAGCTTTTCTATGATGGACTTTATAGAAAGGCAAAATATGCTCATGACTTCAAATTACGAAGGAAATAAGATGAAATTTAGATTATTTCTTATAGACTTGTCACAATTAGTCATACAGTATTCTATTTAATTACATGTTATTATAATTCCACCCACAAACACCATTCAAATCATTTAAAGCAAGTTGAAGGAAAATGCAAGTCAACAATTGCTCAAATATTTGTTACATTTTGCTCAAATGTTTGTTAACTAAATATGTCAAGCTTCTAAAAACACAAAAAGGTTAAATTGGTAATAATTAAAATTTGATCAAAAGTATACTTTTTGTTAACATCAAAATAGTTCCCCTTAAAGAAACATAAACTTTATGATATATGAAAGTTCCTTCGTGAAAGTTAGCTTAGATATAGTGAAAACTGGGACGTCACAGATCTGTTTATGGCAGCATGGTATTGATGCCCACACTGTATGTGAGCATTATATAAAATACAATAGAGTAGCAGCTGTATAAAATAAACATACATGATTATTTCACTCTTCCATCCATTATGTGAGTATCATATCTAAGCATCATAGAGGTGAGGGATAAAAAGCTTAGATTTCCTTGTGAAAGCATACACAAAAACTCTTTACCTGTAACAATCATCCGTTTTCCCACTGTGGAAGATATTGGCTCTCGAAATGACACGGATGCCATGGCTAAGGTCTTAACTATGCACTGGACAAAACTAAGCTTCCTCAGATCAGGCCAGTTTACTTCAGAAAGAGTCAAAGACTCTGCTGTGTCTCTGTTCTCCCTATGACATGAACTAGGTGGTTGCTAAGGACTCATTACAACAGGGAAGTATGGTGTTCCTTCTAACAAAGTTCTGTATTCCAGTTTCCAAGAAGAGATGGATACCGTTGTAACATTCCCAAGAACTGTAGCTCAAAATATCTTTTTTAAATCTGTCAATATTAAGTCAGAACAGACCTATTCAGGTCCTAGATCTAGAATAGACTTATGTCACAGATTCACAGATAACTTGGCAGGCTCAATCAAGATTTCTTTCGATATTTCCCAAAGAATGTTCTGCAGAGGGGTTATTGAAAACCAACAAAAAACAATAGGCAAAAGCCACAGATCATGATTCAATGCATTTCAGAAACACTGGCTAGATAAAATGCAGTAGAAAATTATATTAATGAATGAATAATGTATCTGTATCTATATCTTCCCTGCCCCAAATCAAATACTTACGATATGTGCCTTGGTCATGTCAGCTTATTTACAGTTCCCTAATGTGTGATGCTCTTTCATTCTTCTCAGTTTTTATACATGCATTTCACTCTTCCTATAATGTTCCTATGCAAATATTTCATGTCACCTGAGAGCCAGAGCCCACATTTCCTCTTCCAGGAGAATGCCTGCAGACATAGCTGAGTATTTTCTCCTCATGACCCTTAAACTTCTATAGCATATTGTTTACACTTGTCTTTCAAGCTCTTACCACTTGTTTTGTATATTTAATTGCCTGCAACCCCACTAGACTCTAACTCCCAAGAGTTCATGGGAAAAGCATCTTTATTCATCTTTCAATTTCCAGAGACTTCCATGCAATAGATAATAAATGTTTGTGGGTGGACAAATGAATGAACAGCTAATTTCAGCCTGCCCAGAAATATAATCCATGACAATCATGGAATAGATTATCCATGATAATCCATGGAATAGAAATTCTAATGGTAATTTCAAATTCAACACTACATATATGGGGTTCTTAACTGAAAATGTAATACCTTTTGTTTGTTTAAGGAAATTAAAATACAAAGAGTCTTGGGGCATCTGGGTGGTGCAGTTGGTTAAGCGTCTGACTCTTGATCTTGGCTCAAGTCATGCTCTCACAGTTTGTGAGTTCAAGCCCCACATCGGTCTCTGCGTTGATGGCGTGGAGCCTGCTTGGGATTCTGTCTCTCCTTCTCTCTGCCCCTCACCCACTGTGCGCTCTCTCTCTCTCCAAATAAATAAATAAACTTTTAAAAAATCATAAGGAGAGGTTAGGTAGCCTGGCAGGCAGAGAGATGCGCCACCCAGATTCCCCCTCAAGGAAGGGCTTGTTTTCTAGCTGCAGACAGCTGACAGCTGACAGCTCCTTTGGTCTGCTTTAGCTGCAGAGAACTGCCCTTTCTGTTGTGGGTTGAGCCCTTTCCAGGGCAGCCTGTGTCAAGTGACTAAGTGAGATGGGAATATAAGAGCCAATCATTGCTGTCTGCCGCAAGACAATTTTTTACCCGATGGGCATAGGTTTTGTTGAGCCCTCATTACAGTTCAACTTCTCCCTCTGCCAAATCCTGTTTCTGTCTCCTTCTGTTCACAGAGGTAGATCCCAAAGAACCATCTTGCCCCCCAAACATCCAGAGAACCTGATATGTGAGGACCAGATGCATAGATGCACATATGTGTTATGCAGGAATGCCCCTCATTGTAACCACTCAACCCATCTAATTAGAACTGATCTTGTTCCCCCCATGTAGGCAACAAGAGTCGATGTTTGTTTTGCTACTCATCTTCTTAGGTGCCATTTTGTTTGATCCTGACCTGCACTGCATTCTTTGTGTCCTCTATATTGGCCTTCTGCAGTTTCAGAAGCTTTTCTACTTTTCCTGAGGTTACCTAGTTCTGGTTATTACAGTCAAGGGCTCTCCATCCCTAGCTGAAAGCTTCTCTCAGAAAATTCCTTATTTGTGTCTTTGGACCTATCATTTTCCAAGCTGTCCATATTTGAAACCTGCTAGTAGAAGATAGGAAACTGCTCCTTTGGTTTGTGTTTTTTGTGGTGCTGGGAAGAGAAAGGAAGGAAGAAGCGGAATGAGGAAAAGCAGTTCTTTAGTAATATAAGCAGAAAATAAAAGAGATCTTGGGTTTGGGCTGAAGACCTCCCATGAACCCATGGGAAATGCAGTCTTCCCCTTTGCCTTAGAAACTGTTACAAATGGGGGTGCCTGGGTGGCTCAGTGGTTAAGTGTCTGACTCTTGATTTCCGCTCAGGTAATGATTTCACAGTTCATGAGATGGAGCCCTGAGCTGGGCTCTCTGCCGACTGTATAGAGCCTGCTTGGGATTCTCTCTCTCCCCGCTCTGCCCCTCCCAGGCTCACTTTCTCTCAAAATAAGTAAAAAAAAAAAAAAAAAAAAAAAAAAAAATCTATTACAAACTTCACATCTGTCCTGACTCAGAGTCCCCAGTTCTGAATGCAAAAGGCTGGAAGGAAGGAAAAATAGAGGAGAAAAATTGGTTTTCTGTGAAATTATTTCACCAACTCAATATATACTTAGGTACATTTGTTTTGTTTCATTTGGAGGTAATTATTAAAATTATTTTATAATTAAGTAAAATATTTCCCTGGCTCCAAAGTGAAATCCTTAAAATAAGAAATATTTACAAATGTCTAGCTTTTATTCTTGTCATCTCCATCCTGTTATTTCCTTTTCCTTACAGGACAACTGTGTCTATTTTGAGAGAGAGAGAGCTTGTGCACGCTAGTAAGGGAGGGCCTGGGTGGGAGACGGGGAAGGCAGGGAGAGAGGGAGATAGAATCCCAAGCAGGCTTCTTGCTGTCAGTGCAGAGCCCTACATGCAGCTTAATCTCATGAATTATGAGATTATGACCTGAGCTAAAACTGAGTTAGACACTTAACCAACTGAGCCGTCCAGGTACCCTAGGAAAACTTTTAAAAACTATAAGTAAATATATACTTACCGTCCTCCCCTTTCTCAGAAAAATAGTAGTCTACTGGACACGTTTTCCACCTTGCTTTTTTCACTGAACACATCTGTCAATTACTTTATGGCATTATATAAAGATATTTCTGGGGCACCTGGGTGGCTCAGTCAGTTAAGTGTCCAACTTCAGTTCAGGTCATGATCTCACGGTTTGTGGGTTCAAGCCCCGCATCGGGCTCTGTGCTGACAGCTCAGAGCCTGGAGCCTGCTTCGGATTCTGTGTCTCCATCTCTCTCTGCCCCTCCCCCACTCATGCTCTGCCTGTCTATCTCTGCCTCTCAAAAATAAATAAACATTAAAAAACTCTTTTTTAAAGATACTTCTCGGGGCGCCTGGGTGGCTTAGTCGGTTAAGCGTCCGACTTTCGCTTAGGTCATGATCTCGCGGTTCGTGGGTTCGAGCCCCGCGTCGGGCTCTGTGCTGACAGCTCAGAGCCTGGAGCCTATTTCAGAGTCTGTGTCTCCCTCTCTCTCTGACCCTCCCCTGCTCATGCTGTCTCTCTCTCTCTCTCCTAGAAATAAAAAAAAAATAAATAAAGAAAGAAAGAAAGAAAGAAAGATACTTCTCATTTTTGGACAGCTTCAAAATACCCTATTGTATAGATTTACCATAATTTATCCAACTAGCCCTCTATTAATTGTTATATGGGCTATTTCCAGTATTATGTTGTTACAAAAAGTGCTTCAGAGTATATCTGTCTACATACGTCTTCTCATATATTTTGCAGAACACCTTAGGGATATATTCTTAGAAGTGTGACCAAAGGATGAAAGCATATATAAATTTGTTTGATATTGCCAGATGTCCCCCCCATAATGATTGTACCAATTTGTATTTCAACCAGCAGTGCGTGAGAATGCTTATTTCCACACAGCCTTACCCACAGAGTATGTTGTCAGACTTTGGGATTTATGTAGATAAGTAATGGTAACATAGTAATTTATATTTCTCTTATTATTATCAAGACTGAACGTCTTTTCTCATATGTTGAGAGTCATTTGCATTTTTTTCTATGAACTTTCTGGTCCTATCTCTTGTGTATTTTACTATCTGGCTGTTGACCCTTTTCTATCCTACTTCTAAATGCATGAGCTAACATTCTAAAGGAGGACAAGAGACACATCAACAGAGAGTTATAATAAAATGTAGTAAGGTCAATGGTGATTACAGTAATATGTTTAATAAACACAGATTTCCCTTACTATCCAAAGGCAGAGCACTCCTATGGAACTGTTTTTTAAAATTAATTAATTGGGGGACCTGGGTGGCTCAGTCGGTTAAGTGTTGTGACTTCAGCTCAGATCATGATCTCGTAGTTCATGGGTTCAAGCCCTGCATCAGGCTCTGTGCTGACAACTAGCTCAGAGCCTGGAGCCTGCTTCAGATTCTGTGTGTCTCCCTTTCTCTCTGATCCTCCCCTGCTCACACTGTCTCTCTCTCTTTCTCTCTCTCAGATATAAATAAAACATTTAAAAAATTTTTAAATTAATTACTTAATTTATTTGTTTATTGAGAGCGAGTGAGAACAGAAGCAGGGGAGGGAAAGAGAAGGGGATAGAGAGAGTATTTCTACCACGCACTCCGCTAACAGCACAGAGGCTGATATGGGCTTGATCCCATGACCTGTGAGATCATGACGTAAATGGAAATCGAGTCCATCACTTAATGGACTGAGCCACCCGGGTGTCCCCTCACGTAGAACCTTGTGAAATCTGAAATGGCATAAAGGGAAGAATCTCCCAGTTTCTGAAAGTTCATGTTAATTCACATTTGTTTTTACAAAAGACCCACATTAGTACCTGTTTTTGCTAACTAAAAGAAATCCTGAGAGTATTGTTGCATTTACGAAGAAAGCTGCTAGTGTACTAATGCACAAGAGAGGAAGATCACCTGCCAAAGCCTGGGACAGTGTGAGGTTCACGTGTGGCGAGAGAGGGCTTCCTGGAGGAAATGACGTCTGAATTGTGTCTCAAAGAATGGTGAGCATCTATGCAAGGAATGGGGGAATGGAGGATGGGGTGGGTAGAGAGCTTGA